TTTTTTTTAAGATTAAGACGTCTGAATCTGAATACACATCTGAATATCAAGATGTGTATTAAGATTAAGACATCTGAATACACATCTGAATATATTAAGATCTGTACTAAGATCTGAATAGAAATAATTAAGACTGTTTGATTTTTAACATCTGAATGTATAAAATTTATCTTTATTTGAAAATTAATAAACATAAAATTCAAATGAAATACTAACTAATCTAATATTCTATCAATAAAATATATAGTTTTTTAAAATATGATAGTTGTTGGTGGTGATGGCTAACGGGTGAATGCCGACTAGAGGCGGTGGTTGGTGGTAGTTTTGGTTGATGATGGTGGTTCATGCTAGTAGCTAGTAGTGATTGGTAGTGGTGGCGATTAGGATTGAGGATGGTGGTGATAGTTAATAATGTCGGGTGGTGGTAGTAGTTGTGATTAAAGAAGGTGGTGGGTGGGTGGTGGTAGGTTATATTGATGGGTTGTGCCGGCTGTGGTTGTTGATGGTGATGGGGTGGTCAGTTGTGGTAGTTGAGGCGGATGAGTGTTGATTGTGGGTGAGAATGATGGTGGTCAGAGTGGTGGGGATAGTAGGTGGTGATGGTCGATAATGGAGGCTATGATTAAGGATGATGGTGGCATGATGGTGGCGGAGGTGGTGGTGGTGGTGGTGGGGTGGTGGTTGAGTATGGTGGTGGTGGTGGCATGGTGGTAGTTGATAATGGTAGGCGGTGGCGGCAGTTAATAATGAATATATGATAGCATCTTAATAAAATTAAGTCTCTGTTATAGATCTTAATCATACAGACCTATTCAGACCCATTAAGTGGTTGTGAAGTAAAAAAACAAACACACTTAATGACTAAGATCTGGATAATTAAGATTCAGACTTTAGAAACAAACCACTTAATGTCTGAGATCTGAATGATTAAGATTCAGACCTCCATTAAGTGCAAACAAATGAGGCCTAAGACACATTAGTAGTTATGTATATATCAGAAACATACTCCTGTACAAGTTAGTTATGTAAAGGAAGAAAAGAAATCCAGTTTTTTTTTCTCTCTCTACGATCCTCTATGTTACTCTCTCTATTTCATCTCTTCTCACTAGATCTTGCCTCCATGACCATGGCAGATCTAGCTTGATTTGACAGTTCCTGCAAAGTCTCTAATGCGTTTTAGGTGCGTTTCGAAATCCTTTTGCTCCCTTACATCAGAACCCTTACTCTTTTAAGCGCATAAAAAAAGTCTCGTGGCTCAATTCCCTGTAAATTGCCCTATTTTGACTCCCAAATATGTCATATATAATTTATCCCCAAGAGAAAAACATCAAGAGTTATCTTGTCCCGTCCAGTATCTGAATCATCAGTGTTTACATGAATTTGAGTATATGCAATCTATCAATGGCTTAGTTTGTCTATGGAATATTGTTGGAGAAGTTTCTATTTGCAATTCTTTCATAAAACAACATATCTATCTTCCTTATGAACAACCTAAAGGGGAGGTTTCACGCTTCAATGACTTGTTGCTCCCTTGGTTTTGATCCCACCACCAAGAAACATAAAGTACTCAAGGCACAAATGGTTTCTCATGAAAAAAAATAGGAAATTTAAAGCGATATACTGGATTTCAACCATTGTGGTGGAGAAGTCGTGGAGAGAGATTTCCTGTTGCGCCAATTTTCACCCTAGGAAGCAAAGTTGTGTTTATATCGACAGGTTCATTTATTTTGTAAATAAATGTCAATGTGATATATAGGTGCATTCAGTGTTAGAGATGAAAAGTTAACTATAATGATTTCGTTTCCTGATGGGAAATGGCCACTCAGTTTTTCAGAATCTTCGCCAAGAATAGTAGAAATAAAGGGATAAGTTGCACTTTTAGATCACAAGAAATTCGGAGGCGACGAATGATGGTGCTGGTGAAACTGAGACCTGGATGAAGCATACGATTGGACTACCATCAGAGCTAGTAAAGTTTTTTATTTTCCACCAATCCTAAGGGAGAAATAGTATCAATTCCGGACACCGGGATTTCGCTCATGTTCTCATATGCCATTGGAACGAAAGAATGGAGAACGGTTGAGGTCCACGAAATTTGTGATTGAGAATTCCTTGTGAAGAGTCGGATTAGTGTTTTGCTAAATCTTGTGGAGAGTTATTTGGTCCTTGAAATAACTTCTATTACGGCTTTGTTTAATTGCATTCTTCAACATGCATGATGTTTGATCCATATGGATTTCTGTTTGATCAATTAAACTTTGTTTAGGTTTCTGCAATCTTGAGCACATAATGGGAATTCTTTGTTTAAATTCAATGTGACCCGTATTGAGTTGTCGTTTTTGTTGTTCTTCCACTACCTTTCATTACTACGTTATGCATATACAACTATGAATTCTCAGCTACTAGGAATCTGAAGATTACGTGCAGTACATAGCAATTGCCCCGAAAATCAAAATTCCGTGGCAATTTACTATTTCTTAAATCTTTTCGCTACTAAAAATTAAATTGGCGAAGCTAATTCCTTTGTTTTTGTTTATAGTTGCTTAGTATCATGGCAATAATTAGCTATAAATTTCAAAGTGGATGGATATAAGCTGTGGAGGCAATTTTATATAGCCTCAGTGAAGAATGAGCTTCTTTTAGAATTTTCTGTTAAATTAGCCAAGAGATCAGCTGGAATATTGCATTTCTTAAATGTATGAAGGAATTGAAATTGACCTTCTAGGTTCATGTCTTGGACTTAAATGATATATATCCTCTTGAATTTGCCATGCACATCTAATATCTCCCTTTATCATTTGGATAATAAGGAAGGAGTCAGATTCCACACTCTAAATTTTATTGCAGTTTGTTTTCCTCAATTTTTCTCGCGAGATTATTACTAGTGCTTAATCCATACAAGAATACAATGTAAACATAAGAACTAGTGTTCTTTTTAACGAATCAACTACGTGCAAACATAAATCTATGCTACTTCCTAGTGATTTGCTTGTGATGTTTAGCCATACAGAGCCAATCTTCTTGTCATCAAATTAATTTCTAAATATATTTTCGTCTACTTAAGCATCATATCACAATCCTAAGCTTTTTATTGCATAGTCATATACTGTGGAATATGTTTGAGTTATTATAGTCTGTACTATTAATTAAGACTGTACAGTACTGTAGGTGGTTGATGAATATATTTATTTACTCTCATGTATTACCCAAAGATCTAGACAAATAAGCTGAAAACATAGACTTATAGTATGACTTTGGACTTATTGTCTCGAATTTGGAGCTGATAATACAGAGAGATGCACCAGCTTTCAAAGTGTAGCATTGAAGATTCTGTAGATATGGAAATGTGTAATATGACTTTGCAGTAGCTATATTAATGAACCTAATGCATCAAGAAGATCCTAAGTTCTTTAATTTAATGGAGAAAAAAGTAATATTTTTGAAATTGGAACGTGGCATTCACTCATGTAGCCTACAACAACAAAGTCATACATTTGACTTAATTATAACTGAATAAAACAGAAAGTTGGTATCCCTCTTAATGTTGTAACATACAAAAGCACAGAGAAAAACATTACTAGTATTCAATCCTAAGTAACTAAACACACAGGATGACACTATGAAACAGGACATAGCAAGAAACTAAAAGTCATGACTTTGAAAGAAATCCTGACTTAATTCTCAAGCTCTGGGCTTGAGCCGACCCTCATTAGCTAACTTGAACAGCTGTGCTTGAGCTGATGCAGATTTGTCTGAACTGAGTGCTGTGATAAAACTGTTCTTGACTTGGTCTGTAGTGTAGGTGAACCTCCTGCTAACCATGGAGTTCAATAAAGAAGCTGTTCCTTCTCTGTAGAGCTCCCCTAAGCCATCCGGGCGAGTGTTTGAAAGTGCTTGCACTAAGTTCATGTTTGCACCCAAAGCTGGAACACTAGCCACACCAAATGCATTGCCTACACTTCCCCACCAGCCAAGTATGCCCCATATTAGTGTTGGGTGAGTCCTCCAGTAGCTGCAATTCACAAAATTTCATGTTAGATAATGTCACTCGTATTGTAGTTAAAAGTGCAAAGTTGGTACTGCTCTGTTCCATTTTATGTAATGCGCTCTTTTTAGTCTCTTCTAGAAAGAATCACACCTTTGTATATCTAAAAACTTTAAAATCTTAAGCTTATCAGTTTACCCTCAATGACATGTTATAGTTATAGAAATGTCATTACATGTTTCCACAAGTTCTCGAGGTACATTAAGTATGTGTCAGAAAATTTTCAATTACTGTCATGTAAAATGAAACAGAGAGAATAATTTTCAGTTGACTTACTCGCATGTAAAAGGTGGTGAGTTGGGGTCAATTGGAAAGACGCCCGGAGCACTTGGAGTGCCTGGATCAATGGTAGGAGTAGTTGGTGGTGTTTCAATGATAGGATTAGAAGGGGTAGTGGGTGTAATACTAGGGGTACTAGGTGTAAGAATACTTGGAGGACTTCCACCATAGTAACCACCCCCTGGAGTGCTTGGAGTGCCGGGTCAACGGTAGGAGGTGTAGGTGGGGTTACAATAGTAGGTGTGGAGGGGGTGGATGGTGTACTGGGGGTACTAGGTGTCGGTGTACTGGGGGTACTAGGTGTTGGCGTTGGTGTACTGGGGGTCCTAGGTGTAGGTGTAGGAGTACTTGGAGGGCTTCCACCATGAGATGGAGGGGAGGGATAGTAACCACCACCTCCATGGCCTCCTGAAGGAGGCGATGGAGTAGGGTTGTGGTGATGCCCACCACTAGGGGCGGGGTTACCACAGTTTGCAGGTGGTGTTCCTCCATGGCTACTGCTTCCATGCGACGGCGTTCCATGAGAAGGTGATGTTCCATGGCCACCTCCTGAATGTGATGGAGATTTGTGAGAACCTGTTAATCATAAAAACATGCTGAGTGTAAAATGTTATATATAAAGAAGAGTTAATATATATATACACTGACAATAACATAAGGAGTTTTTGCACTTATCTTAACCTACTGTAACAAGAAATTTGTCTTATTTTCATGCTTGTAACTGAGTTACCTTTTAAGTGGCCTTACACTGTAGTATATAGAAGTTAAACTCTAGTTAAAACCATTCAAAATAATCTTTGAATAAATGCTCATGTCTCCAAATTTGGGAAGACATGGAAAAGATGTTGGTTTAGCAAACATATTCATTATGTGCATCTATGTTGGTTTCTTGTTTTGCTATCTTTCCTTTTATAATTTTGCTACTACTACCAAATCAGCCCATTTTAGGTTCATAAAGTAGTTAAAGAAAACATATAGCTTTTGTCAACTAAACTTTAAAATAGCTAGTAACAAGAAGGCTATGAAACTATATAGGATAAATTAAGAAGAATTAATCCAAATAGCCACCCACCAAATCTCTTAAACTGAAAATAGCCGACGGATATATAATATACATATATTTATGTATAATATGTATATAACTATGTATAATCTATGTATACCGGCTAGAAAAAGTAAACAGTGAATCTGTCCGGCTATTTAAATTAAAGATGTGAGAAGAAACCTGTTGGGGGACTTCTGGCATTTGGATCAGGAGAGTAATAGGTCTTTTGTTCTTCAAAAGAAGCAGTAGACATAACAGGAATGACCAAATTGTGTGCAAGCAATGCAGCAAAGGAAGCCCAAAGAATTAGAGAAGTATGCTTTCTTCCCTCTTTCCCCATCTTTGTTTGCTTTCAAAGGAGAGTGACTAAGAGAAAAAAAACAAGAAAAGAGAGAAGGTGAAAGAGTTAAGTGATGGGAATTGACAAAAGAAGGAGCTGGATATATAAAGAGTAATGACATATAGAAGTTAATATAAGCAGGTGAAAGAGTATGTGGTTAGTTGTGTAAGCTGCAGGTGCATTTAAATTGTCATTTAAATCTCACTGTGCTGTACATGGAGAGTATACTATACTCTACATATATCCAAGTATAAGTATTTACCCTGACAAATCAAAATATGTTCCATGTCTTCAGTTATGGAATTATAGAAAATCATATGATAATTGCATGTAATATTTTATTGATATGTTGGTGATATGTGCCCATGTTAGACGCACTACTTATGAATGTGACTACTAAATCAGTGTCCAGAAGTATAATGTCTTAAGAAAATAAAGTTAGATCTGCTCTTTCCCAAAAAAAAAGGAAGTTAAGTTATATGAACTATCAGCATATAGAATATTTTTTATACAATCAATGTATAGTTTAACCTCTACTAGCAGGTTAGTTATCATTTTTACTAGATTATTAGTTAAATACTTATCATAAAGATTTACATGTAATTATCTTGTAAGCGACCTAATAATGGTAGTATATTTCTAGATTGTCAATTATTTTCTGGTTAGATTGTATTATTGGATTCTTTATTCACAAATATTAATATAGAAATTTAGATATTTCTTGTTAGTTTCATCAGGTTTGCTTACTCTAAAAGGAGCTAGTTTACCAAATGGCAGCTCGAAAATGGCCGAATAGGACAAGAGGGGTTGCTCAGACGGTCAGTACCCCCACCTCTCGGATTATGGGTCACTGGAAAAAAAAGACGGCCAAATGGAGCTAATTTACCAAATGGCTTTGTAAGCATAATTATTTTGCTGTGTGTTATTTGTACATCATGCCCCTTCACAATTTTATAATTAAGAAAATGATATTTTTAGATCTCTTATGTGTAAAAGACAGATCTGTTACGTGTAAAAGTAAATCTCTCATGTATAAAAAAAGAGGTAGGTGTATAGGTCGAATTTCGTCTCAGTATTTGGGGCAAAGTAACATCGAGAAAATAAACAGCCGAAGTCGATCAGGAAATAGTGAGGCTCGTGGTTGAGATACTAACGATGGTCGAGGTCGAGTACCGCAGAAAAGAGCTGTAATGGCTAATTTATTAGAATAGGATATTAAAGAAAATATTCCATTGAATATTTTCTACACTTGTACTATTAGGGTTTGTTGGGCTATGTCCCATATAAATAAGAAAAAAGATAATGAATAGAGGCATGTGATATTCATTTGATAAGAACAGACCTTTGATAAAGATTCTCTCAGATAAAGATACAAACACTACCTTTTTATCAAGATTCTTGTTCATATTATTCTATACCTTTCTATCATATCTCAGAATATTTCGAATGTTCTAGGATTTATCTATTACTCATCAGGAGGAACAATCATCTAGTTCATCCTTTATTGGGTGAACCACTTTCTCTTATTTACTTAAATGTCATTTATTATTATTTATTGCTAGTTATCTCTCCATTATTGCTCACACCTTTTAGAATATTTAATGAATGCTATTGCCAAACCCCTACTAAATCTGTCTAACGTTAGCCGTCTTTTCGAAACCCTCATCTAGAAATATTATCAATAACTAGGTTTAATCCATCGTTATACAAGTATAATCGTTTTAACCGAAAGTTAACATTTTTTGGTCAAACAGTAGGGTTATAAAACTAAAAACAAGTTTGTAAAGAGCCAAAAAATAAATTCACCCTCATTTTGTTACTCTGTCAATTGTCTAATGCAGATGGAATACAGAAAGAAACGAGATACATTGTTGAAAAAGGAAATGAGTAGAAGGAACTGATTGCCTGAGAAGTTGTTTCTTTCAGGGACACTTCCTCCCTCCTGTGCTTTATTTCTTTTTTTGTGCGTTTTTCTCGTGTAAAAAGTGATGAAAGATTTCTCTGTCTTTTTCATTTCAATAAAGAAATTATTAGCATTTCTGGTCTTTCTGAAGCACTTTCTTTTAGACCTATTCAAAAGTTCACAAGCTTATTATATGTAATGAAGGTTTCAACTCTCAATCATAATAATGGCAAGTGTGAAGATGTCTCTTTCTATATCGATTTTAGAATGTGAAATATTGCACGAATTAACAGTTTTATATTAGGCAATGGTGTACGTAGAATTTTGCATGTGCGGTGTCGACTAATTATTATCACAATTCTACTTGTATGTGAGTTTAAGCTTGGACTTGTAGTCTTGTAAAGGTTTTAAAATTTTACTTAAGGGGTGTGCGAAAGGCCAAAAATCACTTATTATGAACCCAGAGGAATAACTAGTTTATGAAAATAGCCACTCCCAATGGAGGTTTACATGTCCCTGAATTTGTTGTCTAGAATATATTGCACTAAAGATGCTTGAAATCAATCGTAAATCTAATCATATGGTTATAATGAAGGTTGTTAGAGCTGTTAAATGGATGTTTAAAACTGTCATTATACTGCTGCCGACAGTAGATGTGTTTATAATTCAATATTAATGATCACATTTCTACTTTGATGTTTAAGATGCTGCACATTGATACAAGAGGTTCAGCAATAAGGTGACACTTGGTACATGGTACAGTATAAACAATAGTAGCCCTGAGTGCCATGATATATGAGGTTTAATGCCCCTGACAGACAACTAGGTCAAACAGTACGTTGTGAATTGCAGTAATAGTAAATGAGACAGCAAAACAATTGTCCCTACATTGGCATTTTAATTATTTTCCGTAGCGAAGCAAGAATTTTCACTAAAAAAAATTTAAACATACGAAAAAAATACTAAGGGGTTTTAACATCTCCTATATATACATAAAAAAAAAATATTTTTTTTGTTGGCTTCGGTATCGAGAAAAAATTGGTTTACCTTCAAATGCAATGGCGGTTGGAGTACCACTATACTAGCTAGGTTTATATGGATGTTGCAGCCTAAGTTGTAAGGATGTACATAAGGATCTCTACTCAACCTTTAGCAGTATAGGGGAAGAAATGAAAACATCATATGAAGGGTCCCTTATATGAGTAAGATTTAACAAATACTCTCTCTGTTCATTTTTACTTGTCCAGTTTAGTAAATAAAGATAAAGATATTTTTTTTTTAGTTTTACCCTTATCATTGACTACTCATTTCCCAAGATTTCTTGAAATACTATTATTATTATGGATAAAATTGTAAAATATAAACGTTCATTTGGTTTTTCTTAAAGAGAGTGCAAAAACAACTAAGAGCCCGTTTGGATTGGCTTAAAAAAAGTAGCTTTTAAGCACAAGTGCTTAAAAGCACTTTTTAAGTGCTGGAGCTTGTTTTATAGATAAGCAGTTACGTGTTTGGATAAAAGTGCTGAAACTTAAAAAAAGTTGTTAAAGTGTTTGGTAAACAAGTGTTGTTAAGCACTTTTTCTTTTAAAATGACTGAAATATCCTTAAAGCTGATAACACTAAAAATAAGCTTATTATTACAAGTTTTTAATGCTAAATTGATTCCTATACAAATTTATGTCTTGTTCTCGTTAAGTTCTCAATGATTTGATAAAACAATTTTTAATATATATAAATTATTTATTTAAATAACATATAATAATAATTTGACTAAAATAACCACTTGGCCAATGGATATAATAATAATTTAACTAGTTTACTACTATGCCAATGAACATATAAATGAAATATATTTAGATGTTTCTAACTTTCAAATCTTTTTTGCGTGAATTGCCTGTTAAATTTGACTCGTGATGTTTATTACTAAAAATATTGTAACGGGAAAGGAGCACCACTGGAAAAGAAAGGAAAGGAAAGGAAAAAGATGGGAAAATAATAATGAAAGAGTAAAGAAAGGAATAAAAGGAAAAGAGAGGAAAGTTATGGAAGAAGAGGAACAAGAAAGCAAGGCTACTGCAACAGAACGGAGAAAAGAAAAAGATAGCATATTTTAGGTTTTAGGGGTAATTTCAGGATTAAAAAAAATTATAAGGGATAAGAATGTAATGTACTTGGTCAAAGTAATATGGCTTTTAAGCCAATTTAGAAAAAGTTGGGTAAAACTTATTGCTTTTAGCTTTTTTAAGCAGATTTTAACTTTTTTAAGCTCTTTTTTTGGTTGCCAAACACTTCCACAAGTTAAAAGGGCTTAAAAGCTGATTTGACCAGCTTTTAAGCCCATCCAAACAGGCTCTAAAAATGACCGAAAAAATGAAGTATTTGGTGAAATAGTAAAAAGGACTGAGACCATCATTAATATAATGGAGGCCCCATTTGCATGGGCATAATTGCCCATAAAAACAAGACAAGTGGTAGGTTTGTCATCTAGGTAATATTTAATGATTTTACATTTACCTCCTTTGTTCTGTTACTTGGGGTATCATTATCATGGAAGCCTAAACTAGTCTTCTCTGAACATTTGTGTCAATTTGATACATGTGTCTCTGTTTGGTGAAAAAATTTAAATGACGGATGAAAGACCAAAAGAAAAAGAAAATATCATTGCAGATCCTTTCGAGTTTCAACCATTGCACAAAAAATCACAAGTTACGGATAGACAAAAAAAAGAAGATATATAATGCCATTGCTTGTCACGGAAGCAGAGGCGTATTTAGAATTTTCAAAATATGGGTATATCACTAAAAAAGAACTAAGTAGAAATTGATCCTTATTCTTTTAAATAAATAACTTAATCTCCAATCAAGTGCATCATTTCACATTTTTGGAGTAGGGGTACCAATAGATAATATTAGATCAATTTTAAGGAATATGTATATGAAATACCTAGTTTGACGGTGAAAGCATGTGTTCTGTTACGCGGCGCCTTCCTGAGATTCCTTGGAAGGGCGACGTAAGGCTAGGCAACTGATGTCAGTGCAGTTGCTGTCCGTCAACTGAGGTCCCCTCCGTACGCTAGACGAGATTGTCAGTGCCGTACGGGAAAACCAATATCAAGAGCAATTGAGAGAACAGAAATGAGAATTCAGAATGAAAGAAAGCTTGATTGCATTAATGAAAGCTATTACA